CAAATAAGAATCGTACACAAGCCCACCTCATTTGATCTGGTAGGGAAGGCATGTTACAGGATCCATCAGCCAGGGACTTACATTTGGTGGTTCCTAGAAGGTGGGCCTTCTCTGCTGTGGCACCCTTCTTGTGGAACATTCTCCTCCCTGAAGTTAGACATGCTCCTTCCCTGCCCATAGGGAAGTCCCTAAAGATCTGGTTATGTCATCAGGCTTCAGGAGGGTTTGAGGAGCCAGAGACATTTTTAGATGACTCCACTGTGATTTATATTCTTGCTCTTTTTGTGGGGTTTGTATATTTAAAATAATGTTTTATAATATTTTTATCTGAATATTTCTCTATCTTTTTCATAAGGATTGTTTTTATTTATTTTCTGCTTTATTCAATTGTATGTCTCCCAGAGTTGCTTTTTGTGAGATGGACAGTCATATAAATGTGTTAATTAAATAAATAAATCTTCCCCTTCAAAACTTCCAGATGCAGATTTTAAAGAAGGGCAGTAAAACTCTCAGAGTTCACAGATCAAATCAAGAATCAAAATGAGGGTTTGAAAAGTTCTTATCAACAGGGAACAGATAGATCCCAAGATATGGTTCAAACTGAACAATATTTTTTCATTCTATTGATTTGTATGAATTTTTTTTCAGTGATTCAGCATTTTCTCTCATTCCTTCTGCCTTGTTTCAGAATGTATATAATTTTCTCTCTGTTTTCAGATGGGACACTATCCTTAAAAAAACCGTGGAGGAATAATTAAAGTGTGCTTTATGTAAATGCCAGAATAATAAACTGCTTATTAATTAATTTACTTTCAAATATATTAATTGAATTAAGAAGGGCATGCTTGAATAGCTCTGGAATGGAGCAGAGAAATGAACAGTAATTTCATTTTTCTAACAAAAGCAGCATTGTTATTTATCATATTGTAATTAAAAGAAATTCAATGTTTTTTTTTTAAATCTCCACAATTGTAATGATGTAAAAATGCAGGACACAATGCACCATGTACTGATACAACCTCAATTTATTTGAGAAGAACTACAATAATCAAACATTCTATCTGGGATATGGTTTTATCAGAAATAATTGCAAAATTTCAATGATTAATTAATTGTTTGAACAGTATGTGAGCCAATGCTAACAACAGATATCATAAAATTTGCAATAGACTAGACAGACTAGACAGCTTCAATTATCTTACTTCAGATACATTTATGCAAAGACCAAGGTCTCTGGAAAAGGCTCTAATGCTGAGAAAGGGTCAAGGAAAAAGAAGATGAGGAGGAACCAAGTGGACAAATTCATTGGTAATTCTGAATTCGTTGGTAAATCTGAAAAACAAGTGGATCACAGTGAAGAAAAATGTATCTATCTGGTGCTAAAAGTTGACACTAACTGGATGGCACCTAATCAATCAAGAAGTGTTGGGAAAAAATTCCAAGACCCAGTAATGTTCAATGTTGTATTGTTTTAAAACTGTTGTTTTTATGTTTTTTATTCTAGTTTAAATATTTTTTTTCTGGAGAACTCAGTATGAACATTCTCAAATTTTTATACACACACACACACACACACACACTTATAGATTGAAACTGACTGAAAAGATCCAAACACCAGAAAAGAAAGATGAAGCTATAAAGTGACTGTAGATAAATAATTATTCATTATTCTATCTTTTATTCTCTGTAATTTTCCAACAATAAATAGATGAATTCCTTCCAAACACAACTGAAGACCAATTCTATTTGTATTAATTTACTCTGAAGTAAGAACATGGAACTTACTGTCAAATAAAGTTTCTGAGTCAAGCTTAATCTTTCACACTACAGTGCTAATCAGATGCATGATGACATACAACATCAGCAGGGGGAGCTCTCCCTGCAGCCTTCTCCCAACCTTGTTAGAAACACCAGGATGCAAGTGAGAGAAAATCTGAGAATCAAATTTCCAGTCTATTTGGAGTGAGCTAAATTTAAGAATTACATTGTAAAGAATCAAAAGTCCATTTTTATAAAAAAGGGGGGGGGTTGGCATCCACATCTACATAATGTTTACTAGAGAACAAATCATAGCAGGTCATGTGGATGTTACCAGATCTGTAAAACAAACATTCCACATAAATATTTCTGTACTTAGATTTCTATTTCATAGAAATTGTCGTGTCCAGAATTGGATTAACTCCTTACAGTGTAGTAATAGGGAACAAACAATCTCCTTCAATATACTACTACTTATAGTGGACTAATTCCCATGAGCAGGGCTTTTTTTTCTCATAGAACGCCCGGAACGGAGTTCAGGCACCTTTTTTGGATGGAACCTTGTAAGGTAGGCAAGGCGGGTTGTATGATGTGTATGAGTTCCGGCACCTTTTTTTTTTTTTTTTTTTTTAGAAAAAAAGCATTGCCCATGAGTATTATTTCATCACAGAAAATGGCAAAAATAGTTGTTCTGAAAGAAATTCTAGGCAAATTTATTGATAGACTGTTGGATAGAAAACAGACTTATGGCTTATTGCTACCTAATCAGGGTGTGTATATCCCTATCTCACTACTGGTCTGCACCCTTCCTATTTCCCTACTCTAATTAATTTCAAGAGAAAGAAAATTCACCCTCAGGCCTTTCCCAATCAGCAAGCTGCAGAGGGAAGGAGACATGTGTAAGACAAAACAAAGAAAATAGCCTTTTCGGCCACTTTACAAAGATTTTAAAAAAATAAAATACCACAAATGAAATTTAAAAGGGCTGAAGGTTGAAAAACAAGTCCTTTTACACAGAACAAAACATCTAAGATATTTTGAATCAGATTTTACAATGCTGTCTGTAAAAGGAAAGATGGAGTTTTGTCTTTCCTTGAATGCACTACCAATTTTATAAATTCCCTTCCAAAGTAAAGGAGCCCAATCATTACTTTCCATTGAGCAGAAGGCATTATAAGCCTTGCTGTTGTTGTGTTTTAATAAAGAGCCACCTCAATTTCTTTGAAGAGTGGCAGTGAGATTGCCGAAATCAAGATTAACAATTGATTAGTTTAATGGCCCATGACAACAATAAACAATAAGGCCTCTGTCAGATATTAGATTGTGCTGCTAATGCTGCCAACTCAAATGGCTTTTAATTTAAAAGAACTCAACACTTTTAAAAACATAAAAATTTAAGATATGTGCAAATTCTGGAAAAAGGCATCTTAAATCATGAATTATATAACAATGCTTTTGCTTGATTTGGGCAATCAATTCTTCTGGCCATTAAAAAAAATAGAGTGGAATATTAAAATTACAGATACTATCCTTTTTATTGTAAACTTTAATAATACTTTAAATTATACTAAAAGGGAAATGGATATTTGAGCTATATTTAAATTCTGTCTTCATCATAGATCTTTTAAATATATTTGAAAACATTATTTCTATGTGTTTAATTTTAAACTTTTGCACTATCTTGGTCATAGTATACACTGCAACCCGTTCATATAAATACACTGTGCTATAATCTGGAAATAAAACCAACACTATTTTTGTGCAAACATATGCTGCAAAAGACCTGAGATAATGTATAAAGATCTAGTCAATATGCATCAGAAGAAAAACATTATGGAGCTAGGAAAAAAGGAGAAAACAAATCTACAAAACACTGAAGCAAATTACATAAACAAATCAGGCTTTTTAATGCAACAAGAAATAAGGCAGGTAAATTCTCCTGCATAATTTTGCTACCAGTATTTAATTCATTTTGATAAAACAGAACTTAACAGAGAAATTATTTCAATGGAGAAGAGAATTTTGAAGGAATTATCATGATAGATGTTAAGTAGTCTTGTTTTTAGCTCTTTAGCTGAGTTGGCTAAGGGTTGACTATAAAAGTGATATTTTTTGTAAAATTATCTCATCAGCAGCTTCAAATTTCTCTGCTTTCCTAGCCTTCATTCAATCCTATGAAAGACCTTTTCCCATTAGCTTTTTTTTAGTCAGAGGTGCTGATTAAAACAGAAATAATGTTGAACAAACAGTGGCAGATAACATTAATCACATTGAATTATTCCACATGAAATTGCCAATGGCAAGTTGGCCATAGCGTGTTGTCCCATGGCAAGTTAGCCACAGTGAGATGGCTATGGCGAGTTGGCTTTAGCAAAATGGCCACAGTGAGATGGCCGTGACAAATTGGCCATGGCAAATTGTCCCATTCCACACTCTCACCAGTAAATGGGAGTCCTGCTCTTTATAGAAGAATTTCTCCTTCACCTGTTGAAATTTGGACAAATTGACAACCTTATTTTTTTTCTCTCCAGAAATGCCATGCTTTTCCTTACACAGCCACTGATGCCCAGCTACAAAAAAATATGTGATAAGTAGAGATATGTAGTGATATATAGAAAATGAATTTTACTTATTTTTTCCTTTTCTCTTATAATAGTTAGAAAATTAAGATAGCCAAACTGGATATCTGTCCTCAATTCAGATAAAACTAATACTTTTTTAAAAAAATATAGTCAATAGTTAAATGATGGAACTTGCTATAACAATTTGGAATTTGCTATACATCAGTGGGTAAATTCTTGGAAATTAAGCAAATCCCAATGGATATTTGTTACAGCAGCTTATATGATTTCCATAGCAGAAGCATCAGGATGCTTATAATTCATTTCCTGCTTATGTCTTCCCATAGGCTTTTATAATGTATTATTACCTAGTCCTTTCAACTTATTGAACTTCTAGTAGGATTTATATTGCTTTTGAGTTTATTTACCATCAAATATTTTGAAAAACAACTTTTTAAAAGAATATTCTGTCACTTTAATAAACATCATATTGCTATTGTTTAATCACTTCTTTACAACAGCAATTTTAAAATGACCATGGTTTGGATTCTATTAAGAAAAGGCATTTCCATTCTTTACCAACAGTTCTTTTATAGGTTCTACTCTATTGCTATGAATAGTGGTAGCAATTCATGAAACAGAACCTTTTGATTATAATTGCTAAAGTCAGATTTTTCTTACCTGTAAATCAGCATCAAATTTATGTTTCAGGTGAGCTTCTTCTGCAGCTTCAACGAGGCGCTAAACAGAAATGTAAAAAAGTAAAATTACTTCCTAGAAATCTGATTTTCCTCCCATATTGATAATCAAAATGTAGTTTTTAAGATGAACTTACTTAGTTCCACTATACAAATTGCTATAATATTTGTTTTCTGTAAAGAAAATGACTTGGGATGAGGGGAGACATGTGCAAATAGGGACATCAAATCCTTTGTGGTAATCTCGGTCATGTTAAATGTTCCTATATATGAATATATTAAATACTAGGTACTTTATGCAATGCAAAGACATTTTTTTCCAGAGTAGTGATTTTCTTGGGTACAGTCATGAATATTCAACCAACTTCATTATAAATTTTTGAAAAAGTCTAAAATGGCTGTTGCAGGCATTTTAAAAAATGTCTCCCCTCTTCTCTATGTGAAAAAAGCACTGAAGTAAAAGAGGTCAAAGGACTTTATATATAATTGAACTTCATGTAAAATGTTTCAGTGATTTTTTTTCCTCAAACAGCAGCATTTATGAACATGCTGCATAAAAATGAGTCTCCTACATCATGAGCAGTCAATCCCTTGAATCTCGCTGGCGGAAGCTATAATTCAAAGATCTCAATTTAGTTTGTTATTGATCCAGAATTTCCAGGCACATCGGAATTAGCAATACAGTAATGATAATATTGAATTCTTATGCTTTAAACAAAAAAGAAAGACTTCTACATGGACATTAAATGAAGAGCAACTATTTATCTTAACATGCAAATAATGTTCTCCTTTTCTTTCTTTCCCAACAATGCAGCCAAACAGATTTTCATGTTCTCCTCAAGTTCCTTTTGGTTCCTGTTTAAAGAAGCTATATTCAGTTGATGCACAGGCTACAAGAGTATTTGACTTTTCTTGTCACTATCTAAATATAAGTTAAACTGGACTTAGTTACCCTTTATCCCAAAATGAGCAGGAATGGAGCTGCGTCAAGGAGAACTACTTGCAGTGCTTCACCAAACAAGCAGCCCCTCCTTCAATGGCAACATACACAGTATGAATATTGGCAGGGAAAACAGCTTCTTGTGTACAATGTATACAACAGTATAATAAATATTTACATAGAAGCAAGACTGTCAATGTAATAGGAATCACATTCATGTGAAAGCCTTTGTACATAGAGTAACCAAACATTTTCATATTATTTAGCATTTCTCATTTGTATACATGAATTCTTTTTAATGGTAACTATAAACAAATTTGAATTTTGATCCCCAAAAGAGCAATTTTAGGGCAGAAAATAAATATAACAAAACTATTATCAATAAAACAATCAGAACCATTTAAGCTAAAAATTAAATGAAAAACAATTATTTCAAAAGCATTATATTATCAAGCACATTGGAATCACATTGTTCAGATTTTATGGCTGAGCCCCATTAGATGCCATCTTGGGGAGAAAATTGCTGGGAGGTGCTGCATCAATGACTGTAGAGCTAAGTGAAGCTTGGGTGCCTTCAACTTGGTTATATTTGATATTGATTTCATGAAAATAAATGTTAAAGTTCTTCCCCTACTCATTTTACCTGCAGAGTGAGTGGGACAAGAGCAACGGGAGTACGTTTAACCTAACTGATGGTAGACTAATATTATTTCTCTTTTATGGGATCCTTGTACTGAAACACTGGTTCTGAATTTTTCCTGCTCTTGATTTAAAGGTTCAAATCTTTGAGGGAATGAACATAAGCTGAGTGGAGTGAAACCAAATTCAGAGAAGAGCAACTAAAATGATCAAAGGCCTGGAGACTAAAACATATAAACAAAGGCTGCAGGACTTGGGTTTGGCTAGTCTAAAGAAAAGAAGAAACAGGGATGACATGATAGCAGTATTCCAGTATTTGAGGGGCTGCCACAGAGAAGAGGGCATCAAACTATTATCCAAAGCACCAGAGGGAAAGACAAGAAACAGTGGTTGGAAACGGACCAAAGAGAGAAGTAACCTGGAATTAAGGAGAAACTTCCTAAAAATGAGGACAATTAACCAGTGGAACAGCTTGCCTTCAGAAATCATGGGTGCTCCATCACTGGAGGTTTTTAAGAAGAGACTAGAGTCTAGACAGTCACTTGTATGAAATGGTATAGGATCTCCTGCTTGAGCAGGGGGCTGGACTAGAAGACCTCCAAGGTCCCTTCCAGTTCTATTCTATTCTATTCTATTCTATTCTATTCTATTCTATTCTATTCTATTAGAATAGAATAGAATAGAATAGAATAGAATAGAATAGAATAGAATAGAATAGAATAGAATAGAATAGAATAGAATTGAAAAGCAACATCAACTGTTTGTTGCTTTGCCTTTAGAACTTTACTAGATCAACCTGGTACCTTCTAGGTCAGGGGTAGGCAACCTTGGCTCTTTTATGACTCATGGACTTCAACTCCCAACCGGCTCAGGAATTCTGGGAGTTGAAGTCCACAAGTCATAAAAGAGCCAAGGTTGCCTACCCTTGTTCTAGGTACTTTGGCTGACTACTTCTTCTTTGCAATTCACTGTTCTAAAATAGCTGGTTTGTACTAATTTATGTACTGCACTGGAACAACTGGAAAAATTTGATTCAGAGAACCAAGGGACACGTAATCTTATAGGCTACAAAATAGAGAGGTGGCCTGGCAGATGTCTTTATTTGTAGAATGTACATCTCATTTTTAATATTCTTAACACAAATAAAGAAAAAAATAAGATTTGGTGGTGAAGGTAATATTTGTCAAATTTGTCAAGTACTTCAACAAAAAGCAAGAACATCTGAATGCTTCTGTAATAAGATTTGCATGTTAATATAAAATAAGTCATTCTGAACAATGAGAAACAATGACTTTTCCTTGGCTTTATTCTATGTTACACACTGGTGACTGGATTTTATGGACGAACTGCTGAAAAGTGACAAAATAAATGCTTTTCTATGAAATGAGTTTAAAATGCTATATAAATCCATGTTTTCCCTGGCATGTAATAAACTTTCCAGTGTGAAATACTAGAGGTTGCAGGGCAGATCAAGGCCAGGATGATGCTGAGTTAGCAGTCAATAGAAGGCCCATGATATTTGTATGTTCTTACATAGGCAAATTTTATCTATAACAACCATGGGGGTGGGGGTAGTGGTGGAATACTACATAGTTTCATAGAAATCCTTCAGAAAGAAAAGCAAAATATTAGTTGTAAACATACAAACATATTTCTATATTTATGTAATGTGTATCTCCACATACATAAACACATTCCTAGATACACATACATTGATACATACATAGACAGACAAGCACATAGAGAGAAATGTGTTTCTATTTCTGTTTTCTATTGTGCTTCTAGAAAAGCATGAAGAATTTCTATGAAATTATGTAGTAAAAAACATGGCATGTGCAAAAATAACTTCCTCCCCTGATAGGCACATAACAACGTAGAACTGAAGACAAGAGACCAAGTTGTTGTCTCATTCACAACAGCTAGCGAGACCAAATAACAGACACCACAGAATGTAAGATGTCTAGGGACCAGTAAATAGTCCCATTCCATTTTTCACTGGATGGCTTTAGCCAATCACTACCTTTCAGTATAATTCAGCCTCATTAGATTTTTGTGCAATCAAAATTAACAGACTGGAGGAAAGGTATATATACTACATAAATGCAGTAAAGGGTTAGATACACCTGATTATGCAATTTTCGGTGTAAAATATGCTTCTTTAGCACTGCCACCTGCATGTTGCTTTATTCTGTTCGCATGCTGATATGGATACATAGTAGAAAAACTTGGAAATTTCTCCTTTAGAACAGGGGTCCCCAACTGCTGGGCCGTGGCCCACTACTGTTTGGAACCAGGCTGCGGAAGGGGCGGATGAGAGTGTGCATGTGGAGCTGCACACACATGCTAGCTGGCTGGCCACTCACAGGGAACCATCCCTCTCCCCCCTGGCCAGTCTGCAAAGCTGGAAAAGTTGGAGAACTCTGCTTTAAAAGACTTGAAATGGGAGATTATTCCTGCAGACTGATATCTAATTATAATTCCAAAGTTGAAAAAAGGTATTTCCTTGCTTATCACTAGCCTTATCTGCATGGCCTCTTTTCTTCAGTTGGTTATTCTTTGCACATCTAATAGTTACCATTGCTCTTTAATTCTCTGTGATCGCTTTTGCTGAACACTAGAGAAGTAGGCAAACCAATTAGCTAGAACAGTGCTGGAACTTTTCATATCCTTTTGCATAATTTGGTGGTTATATTATATTAATTATACTATACTATACTATACTATACTATACTATACTATACTATACTATACTATACTATACTATACTATACTATACTATACTATACTATACTATACTATAGCTGCCCATCTCAGCAAATTACTCTGGGCGGCTTTATGCCATCATTTCATACAACACAACAAATCATAAACTAGGCAATCATATTTTAACCTACCATCTTGGATGAATCCAGTTCATGATTTAATTTATGGTTCACTCTGTTATCTGAACTCAGAAAAACTAAGTGAATTGAGTAAATCAGGGAAGCCTTATGAACTCCATTTCTCTTTCTTGTTCTTATTTGTTCTATAACCAAATCACTATACTGTATTCTGCTGATAAATAGATCAACTATCAAAAGTAGCTTTTGCCTCTTCCTAACCAACTGTCACTTTTTTAAAACTCAGGACTGTGTTTTAAGATAACACCTTAATGCACAGTTATCCAGAAATAGCTTAAATTAAGTGAGACCTGCTTACAAAAGAAAATCTTATATTATTTAAAGCCTTATTGATATTCTTTGTACATCAGATATTAAAATCCTTTTCACTGAACTACAGCCTAAAATTAGGGCATGAAAATTAATCTAACTAAAATGAGTACCCTAGCAATTAAACACTGTTTAGATTCCAAGAGTGGAAAAATCCACTTAATTAAACAGATTACACTATGTTGTCACAGACTGGGAAGCACTGCTGTAGAACACAAAGAACTTTATGTTTTACTTCTCATATTGTCTAAGATT